GTAACACAATTTGCTACACCATAATTAAAGATGGACACATCTGTTCCATTTTAATTCAAACCCCTTTGAACATAATTACATAAAGCTGCGAGAACAGAAATTCTCAGTCTTAGAAATTTACTATCAAAAAAAAATCATTCTGTCTGCAGAAACTACATGGTCAAAGGACAATTTGTAAAATGAAGTCAAATAGATGTCTCTCACTCTGCATCAAAGCATGAAATAAATCTAAGACCCCAGATTAAAGTACAGTCCCCATATGAAAGCCATAATTAGTTAAGAAAACCCAGGTGATGGACAATCTTTATAGAAAGTACTAGCATTCCATCCCTGTGGAGGGAAACTACATATTCTCTTAGTCCATTGATAGAAAAAAGGGAACAAATATTTTAAAAAGTTAAAGGAAAACAAAAACAAAAATGAGAAAGTCAAATGCAGGTGTCACCTTTAAACCTCCATCTAAATATTTTTGGTCACATTGATTTAATAGATTTTACTTAAAAATAATATATTCTCTTTCTAAGGGTCTAGTCATTATATCCAAAATAAGTTTTGTGATAATAATAATCAGATGTATAAAGAAATAGGGCGAGGTAAAGGAAACCCTAATATTTCAGAATGTATTCAGAGAATTTAATAACTTCAGTTAAATGGCAAGCCATGCACACAAGAGTCCCTGAAATGTAGACTGTTAGTCTGTTTTATTTATGTTTCCATATCCTGAAGATGGTTTAATGAGGAGATGCAATCAGGATTAGCTAAGCAGTGAGAACTTGGAGGGAACTGGGTGGCAGTAAGATTTATATAAATATTTGCAGAGACTGGGAAGAGCAGATGCTCATATAATCCAGACAATGTGTGTGCACTTCATTTTAAAATAAAACAGTTGAAAGCCAAAATATAATTAATCAAGAGGAAATGCTTTAATCAACATCTTCCAAATCCTAAAGCACTGCTGAAAAGATTAAAGAAACATAAAAGAAATTAAAATATGATATTCAAAAGGAAACCAGAATTCATCTATTCCTGACATTCTCCTTTATCTCAGATGTGGGGTGGAACGTGTAATTAATACACATTTCCAATTTCTGTCAACGATTGGAATTTCCTAGGTGTTTAAGGTACTAACTAAATCACCTGAGACTTACTGCATAATTTACAATGCGGTAATGACAGGTCTCGCCATTATTAATTTACTATGAGAAATGTGCCTTCTTGCCCTTATTTCCAGTAGTTTTTTCTAAATAGAGATCTTTCCAATGGAAGAGGAGGACAGCAAATTTACATATGTGATAGTTTTATTTTAATGTAAGCTGCATGTCAAGAAATTAATTAACATATCAAATCTATGCATATTCAATTTTGAGCATATAGACCTTAAATAAATGTGAATAACTTAAACTCAGTTTTATCTCAGTTCTTCTAAAATCAACAAGCTATTCTCTTGCTATTATTTCTGTTGATTCCTGTCTAAGATTTCATGAGCTGCTCAACTTGAACCTGTAATTATTACTAAAGTTCAGAGAAGAACAATTTAAACAATTTAAATTTAAATTCAAGGAAATAAAAAGCTCACGCCTTCATGGCAAGTTCAAAATATATAAACATGTAAAGCTTGGCACATTTGCTATTTCCACAAAGTTTTCTTGGTGACAGGAATTATTTCACACATATCACCAGAATATTATAAACAGTCTTTGGTAAAAGATTATTCCCTACAGATGGCTAACAGTTTATATCTCATAATTTCTGAAATAACTCTTGAATAGAACTTATTCCTGATTATAATTTTTAGCAGAAAAATCTTTTTATTTAGTAAATTTCTGCCACAAAATCTCTAGCACTTGGGTCTAGAAGTCTTGAAATCTTAAAGGTTTAATCTTGCAAAAACATTGCTAAAATTATTTCTATTGAAATGCCAGGGAAAGAAATTTCTTACTATATACCCCTTCTATAAATATCTCTTAATAATAAAGAAGACTGTTTGATGGACCTGAGACATCCATTATCAAATCTAGGCTGAGAAAATGAAAGCAGCCATGCGGCAATCTCTTCTGTGTTCCATCATAGTTACAATAACTTTGAAGGGCATCTATGCACATACCTTCTTCTAGTATATAACAGAACAGAAGACAAAGATTCTTGATCTGTCTCTAAATGGCTTATTTTATTATCACAAATATTTCTGAAGTTTTTTCCTATATGATTTGTATATCAGTGTCACTCTTTATCAGAAGGGAATTTATTACTCAAATTAGTGACTTACACATAATGAACTTGACTAAATGAATTGCAACCAAGTACAATGATAATGTTAATTAAGAACATGGCTATTTTTGTCAACAGACTCATTGGAGAGATAAGGTACAGTCTCATCATAAGAAGTTTCTCTTTATTCTGTCCTTTTTCTCATTTCATATCATTACACTACAGAAAGGGGCATACAGTTTAATTATTATTTGTTGTTAATTAATTATTGTTTGTTGAATGTCATTATCACCATCAACCATCTATCATTTGTCATAAGAAAATCAGAAATTAAATTCTATTGGAGATTCTGAGAGGGGGACAGGATATCTGGAGATCTCAGTTTCATCTGGCATTATGTTGCTTTGTGATTTTATGCCTAAGCCATGCCTATAAGATGAAGGACCTGGTTTACGAACCTGCAAAACGATCAAACTTTCTAATGGATTTAACAATAATTTATATATACTTTTGCTTTATTTTGTTTTTTAACTATGGCTCTTAGGCTTTTCTTTCTGACAATGAAGGAAAACATGCATATGATTCTGCCTCATTTTCTTTTTCAATAAAAAAATCTTCTGTTTGATCGATTTTCCTCAATGCTAAAGCATTTCTCAGTAGTCATGCAGACACCTCAAGTCATATACTTTTATAACACTGTAGCAAATATTTGTTACAAAGATTATTTACTATGGCATATTAGTTGCTAATATAAGTTACACACACTCCACAATTTTTCAGTCAAAATTCTCAAACCTAAGCGATATTCACACTCGTATATACACAAGTAATCTGAGAATGATCTTATATTAAAGAATGTGACTTAGATTTTAAAATACTTAGTTAATGACATACAATTTTATATTATCTTTTACTATTTAAGGGAGAGATTGAAAATAAAAACCAATAAAAAAGAAAAATACTGGATGGTCTCACTCATAGCAGGAATCTAGAAAACTTAAATAAGGGACCAGGAAAAAGAATAACTATAAGAAAGAAAGTATCAAAATCAACAAGCAACTATGAACCAGAGACACTCTATGGGGGGTGAGGGGCGGGGAAAGGAGGGCTTGGGGTCAAAATAAGGGGGTTGTAATTGTATGGGGAATATAAAAATAAAATTTAAATAAAAAAAAAAACAATAGCTAAATAATTACAGAACATCACCATTGGTTTTTGTTTTTTTTTTAAGCAGATACTTTTTTTTTTCCCTCAAAGATTTATTTATTTATCTACACAAGCACTGGGTACAGTCAGAAGCGCAGAAAGGTGAGAGAATTCACCAGAGCCACAGCGGAGAGCAGAGCATGCAGAAGGACCGAAGTACACTGCTGAGGGTAGCAGTGGGCGGCAGGAGAGGTCTGCGCGCCATGTGGGACCCTCGCCCGATGGCCGGGGAGCAGCTGGGGATCGAACCGGCGCCGCAGAGGCTGCGGGCAGCCTTGCAACCCAGCACTCAACTGCTGCGCCACCAGGGGGCCCACCATTGTTTTTAAACATACCAAAATGTATATATTAAAATAAATGGTATCCTTCCTTAAGTGGTTAATTTTCAGAAAACTAAATTGTCTTTAGAATCTTCTGAAATATTTTGTGACTAGATTAGTGGTGACAGGGTGTAACATTTTGAGGATATAGTGTTTGGGTGCTTGAAAATAATTCACAATCATCTAGTGCCATATCTGAGTCACCATTTGGTAGCTATGACCAAGGTAAAAATGAAAAGTAATAAGATTTTTTTTCTTTGTGAAGAATAATAACAGTGCAGTAGCATTTATTGAGTGCCCATGAAATATTAAGAGATAGAGTATTTTAAGAGATAATTATTCTGGTCTTCATAATTATTTCATCTTACAGATGAGGAAACAGCTTTACACAGAAGCATCAAAACTTCCTGAATGTCACATAACAAACATATTGCTGAACAAGGAATCAAACCCAGAAACACCTACCTCAATTAAATCTGGGATACTAAGGTGAATTGTCAATAAGAAATTTCAAAAATCATTTTCTTATTTGTAAGTCTTTGTATTTCCATTATTTATAACAATTTATATTCTATCATGATTCAGTTTGATATTTAATGTATATTTTATCATATAAATCTTAACAATAAGCTATGAACCTATTATTCAAATATATCTTGATTATTTTAATGCACAAGATTGATAAAACCCTTCAATGAAATTAAAGACTTCAAATAATTACAATGAAATATTAAATCATGTAGTTTTTATAAATTTAACACTAGATACCTTAATTTTTTAATTGAAAAGTATTTATGTTTCCATTTAAATTTCCTATATGAAAAAAACAGGAAATTATTTACTCTGTTACCATGTATACAAAAGACTAACAAAATTTTATACAGTATTAAATTTCCTTAAGTATTAAATTTGCTCATCTAGTATGCAAACATTGATTCGAATGGATTAGTTTATGAAGTTGGCATATAGTTTTAAAATATAACTTAGAATGATTTATCTCAGATATATTTCAGTAAGAGAAAGGTTCACATAAATATCATGTACCACTGAACAATACCAATTAAGTACATAAATCTAAGATAAAGCTGTTCAGGTGGCATACAAATCAAAATGGAATTTTTATAGACAGTTTGTATCAACTGAGATAGCAGTTATTTAAATATGTGAGGCTACCTATTAGCCTTCAAAGTTGAAAGAAACCCTACCATATAATTACATACAGTCTGGTGATTGATATTTTACTTTTAAGAGGTTAAGAAAGCTCACAGATCATGATTGAGCACCAGTGATATCTCAGAAGAACAAGATTATAGAGAAGAGATCTTGGTACTTCAAAATATCTGTGCAGTTTCTGAAAACTAAAAAGATTTGAAATAGCAACTATTATTTGAAAAATGACAGTAAATCAGCATTGAACATATCATTTACGTATAATTCAGTTATTGTCTAACAACATGTGCCTAACCACAAGCAACTTTTTTTTTTTTTTTAATGGTGATTCTCTAAATCTTAAATTCAATCTCAGAGGCAGTGTTAACATATATTCCCTCTTATTTAGAGGTTTCCTTTCTATTGATGTGTCTTATTCCATTTAATCATGCTCTTAAATACTACTTCATGGCAGGCAATTAAGGCTCTGTAAGTATTCAGAATATATATCTGTGTACCCATTTCTTTTGAAACAAGAAAATTACTTAGCTGTAATTCTTACTCTCAATGAATTGTAATTACAATGACTCTAAACCTTTTTAACTTAAGTGTTTCCCTAGTACATTTGAGAATGAAAAAAATATTCCATCCAGCAAGTTAAAATCATTCAATGTCCTCACAAATAAGCATTTACAACTTCAGTTCTTAAGGTCCAAAGTGTAACTAAAAATATTAGTCTTACATTTCAAGTTAAGGCAAAAATGGTGAATGAAGGAAATCATAGTGATGAACCAAAAGATCAAGAAGAAACACGAAAAAACCAAAATCACTTCAACTTATCTAAATAAAGTATCTCTCCACTTAAACGAATGACCATAAGTCCTCACCCCGTAATTGGAAGCTGTTCTTGTTAACATTTCTTTTACCCAAGAACTGTATGGTTTTACAATGTTCAAAGATTTACAAGGAGAGCTATGATGGATATAATCTAACTATGGATGATTCAGAATACCCGTCAGGTTGTTCCCTGCCCTGAACACCATCTTTAAACACATACATCATTATCACTGCACAATCTTGTAGGTGCAAGATACATAGAAAATGGGGTTTTCCCACACATACTTTAAAATGTACCTGGGAATAAATCTGCTTTCAGTTTACTTAATGGGTAATATCTCAGAGGCATAAAGTCAAAGATCTGAACAAAAATTCACTGACTTTTTTTAGATGATGAGTATACAGGTTAAGAGGACTTCAGGATATACAGGAACAATAGTGTGTACACACACACACACACACACACACACACGATCCTGTCCAGCACAGACTTTTAAATATGCAGCCATGTAGACAAGAACTCACCAACACGATCTAGCTGCTGAAACTTCCTTCTCATCACTATAGCTGTAGTGACTCTTGGGTCTTCATTTAATTTTCACTGGTGAGGAAATAAATGTCCTGGATCTCCATTACCCCATTGCTTGAACACTTGGTGCCATGAGTACCTTGATGTCCTACCCTCACTGTTGGAAGATGAGGGTGGTGAGTGGGATAGGAGACTGTGTTTTCACTCCCACCTTCAGGACCACTTCATAATGGGAGCTGTGTTCCAGAATCTTGGGCTGGAAATTAGAATATGTTTTCCATAGAAATAAAAGTCTGATTACCTGAAACTTCCCAGATAATTAGTATTGAAATTCAGACATTTGATAGGATTTTGTGGGCTGGTCAGAATAAAGTACCTCATAGAACATCAATATTATTAGAGCAATACAATCTGAGTTCTAAAATAACTTAAAAACCAATTTTTCAAATATATAGCTTTCATAATTTGGGAATGTCCATAGATGTAAAATACAAAGTAAAAAATCAGAGTTAACACTTTATAAAAATCATAGAATTTTACATCGCTTTAGCAGTCATACTTTTCAAATATTTGCATTCACAAAAGACTACACTGTAAACAGTAAAATCTGAGAGCAAGAAACTTTGAAGAGATACGAGAATTCAGGACACATATTAAAGTGTGTGATCTTTTATTCCAATTCAGCTGACTTTTGTTTTTTTCTTCTACAGACCTGATAATACCAGATACCCTCCCTTTTTATCTTATATTATCACTTTTGATTTCCCTTTATTGCTTTATGCTAATTGATATATTTACAAGACAAAATAAAACCTCTGTTCCACTTTCCACTTAAGCCACTACTCTATTTCCACCCTGTGCAGCAAAAGCCTTTGGGAGAATTGCATTGACTCATTTCTACTTACTTTCCTCTGATTCTCTCTCAATCTCACTCCAATTAAGCTTGAAATCCACCATTCTACAAAAACTGTTCTTGTCAGGGTTATTACTAACTTCCTTGTTGCTCAATCTTCCATGGCTACTTTTCTGCCTTTAACATAATAGCAGCATTTAACACTTTAATCATTTCCTCCTCCTTGATACATTTTCCAGGATACCTCCCAGGCTTGGTTTTCCTTCTGTATGTCTTGCCACTTCACCTAATTCCTTGGTTCCTCTGCTCAGTCTAATTCCTTAGCGATCTAATGTAGCTCCAGTACTTTATGTTACCACTTTAAGGATATTGTTTCATCATCCTGTGGTGTCTATGGTTTCTGAATAGAAGTTTGGGGTTTTATGAATCATTCTCCCCGGTAGGTAATGAGTCATATTTCTCTTGCTCCTTTCAAAATATTCTCTTTGCATTTGATTGTCACAAGTTTGTCAAGGATGTGACCAGATAGAGTTTGATTTATATTTATCTTGATCTGTGTTTGCTTAGCTTCTACCAACTGGAGAAATTGTCCACCATTTTTTTCAAATACTTTTTCTGGCCCACTTTCCTCTCTTCTAAACTACAACTACAGCTCTGTTAGAGGTTTTGATATGGTCCATATCCTTAAGTCTGTTCAAATTACTTAATTTTTATTTTTGCTTTATTAACATTGGATAATTTCTACTGACCCATAGTTCAAGTTTGCTGGCTTTTTCCTTTGTCAGGGGATTAGCAAAGGAGGAGAAAGACCTATCCATTGAAAGCTGTAAGACATTGTTAAAGAAATAAAATAAGACACAGGAAATGAAAAGAAATTCCATGAATTAGAATAGTTAGCACTGAAAATGGTCATCTTATTGAAAGCAATATATAATGCAATCCCTTTCTAAATTCCAACAGCTTTCTTAAAGGAAATGGAGCAATTTTGAATGAAATTTATATGGATCCACAAAGACCCCAAAGAGCCAAAGCAATTCTGACCAAAAAAAAAAAAAAAAAAAGGAGAATGGAAGTAATCCCAGAATTCGAATTATACTACAAAGCAATAGCAATCAAAATACTATGCTATTGGAATAAAAATAGACACAATGATCAACAGAATAGAATTGAGAGCCCAGAATTAAACCCATACTTACACAATTATATGGACAGTTAATTTACTAGAAATGAAGCAAGAACATAGCATGGAGAAGGGAAAGTCTATTCAAAAAATGGTATTTAGGAAAAAATTTGCTACACACAAAAAAATGAAACTAGACCACATCTCACTTGACAAAAACTAATTCAAAATGGATTAAAGGTTTGGAAGTAAGACCTGAAACCATAAAATACATATAAGAAAACAGGTAAACACATTCTTTGACATTGGCTTCAGGGCTTTGGAAACTTCATTCCACAGCAAGGGAAACAAAAGCAAAAATAAACAAATGGGACTACATCAAATTAAAAAGCTTTTACACAGCAAAAGACACAGTAACCAAAATGAAGAGAAACCCTACTGAATAGGAGAAAATATTTGCACATGATACATCTGATAAGGGACTGATATAAACAATGTACAAAGAGCTCATACAACTCAACAAAATCAAACCAAATATCCCAATCAAAAAATGGGCAGAAGAGCTAGACATTTCTCCAAAGAAGAAATGCAAATGTCCCACAGGCATATGAAAAAAATGTTCAACATCATTATCAGGGAAATGTAAATAAAAACCACAAAAAAGACCACCTCACACCAGAGAGAATGGCCCATATTAAAACAAACAAACAAACAAACAAACAAAAAAACCCTAGAAACAACAAGTGCCAGTGAGGATGTGGAAATAAAGGATTCCACTGACTCTGTTGGTGGGAATATGGACTGGCCAGCCACTACGGAAAGCTGTGTGGAAGTTGCTCAAAACACTAAAAATGGATCTGCCACACAACCGAGCTATTCCATTCCTAGGAATCTACCCAAAGAACACAAAAAACACTAATTTGAAAGGAAATGTGCCCTGCTATGTTTACTGCAGCACTATTTACAATAGCCAAGATATGGAAACAACCTAAACGTTCCCAAATTGATGAATGGGTCAAGAAGATGTGACTACTACTCAATGATATAAAGAAAGATAAACCCATGCCATTTGTAGCAGCATAGATAGTACTGCAATGGATTATGCCAATCAGAAGGAGAAAATTGGTATCAGATAGTTTCACTTACATATGGAATATAGAGAAACAAAACAAATGGTCAAAGACAAACCTTGAAAATTGACCATAGATCTGAGGCATCTAGCATGGGAAGTTGGAAGGTGAAAACAGCAAGGAGAGGAGCACAAGGGAACATGGTGATAGATTATGGGTGCTTTGGTGATGGGAGAACTACGGCCACCACACCTTAAGGTAGAAATCATAGACTGTCCAAAAATTAACAATATACGAAAAAGGTACTTTATTTAAAAATAAGCTAATTTTAAAAAAACACAAAGAACTCATATAATTCAACAAAAAGAAAACAAAAAAATATCAAAAATGGGCAAAAGAGCTAAATAGATAACTTCAAGGAAGATATACAGATGCCAAGAGATGGAAAATGAGATAGGTTACAGATGGAAAAAGTGTTCATCATCACTTATCCTCAAAGAAATGCAAATCAAAACAAAAGTAAGATACCAGCACACATTTGTGAGAGTGGTCCAAATCAAAAAGGACCAGAAATAACAAGTATTGGTGAGAATTTGTAGAAAAAAGAACCCTCCCGTGCTGGTGATTTGAAGGCAGGCTAGCCTAGTCTCTATGGAACATAAAATGATATTTCTCATGTTTCTCAAAACATTTAAAAATAATTCTAACATACAACCCAGCAAACCCTCTCCTAGGTATCTGTCTGAATACAAAAACACTAAGTTCAAAAGGATAATGCTTTTGGACTATGCTCAAATGCAGCACTAATTACAGCAGCTTACCCCTGGGAACAACCCAACCGCCCAGTGACAGATATGACAGATGAGTGAATAAAGAAGATGTGGCACACACACACGTTTACACACACACACACAATGGAATACTATTTAGACATTTAAAAAGATGAAATCTTGTCATTTGTGACAACATGGTTGGAACTAGAGGAGATAAAGTCAGAAAGAGAAAGACAAATACCTGTTAGTAGAATGTAAAGAAATGAAGCAAAAGGACAGACAAAAACAAGTCATATCAAACCCTCAAAATCTGACTTCAGATCTGAGACTCTCAGAAAGGGCAGGTAAAGGGAGGGAAACAAAGGGCGAACAGGGCTTTCAGGGAACTACAGTGGGGGATTATTGGGCCTTCGGTGGTGGGTGTTGTACATTTGTAGATACGTTTACAGAGGTGTGAAACTATACCCCTAAAATATACACAGTGCTGTAAACCAACATTATCTCAATAAACAATTTTTTAATGAGGCTTACTGACCATCTTTTTTTTTTTTTGCTATTTTATTATTTTTTTAATCACAAAGATTTAATCTGCAGATGATTGCACATACATGTCACTAGCAAGGATTCCTTATTATTTGTTCCATCTACTTCTTTTCTTTAATTTTTTAATTTTATATATTTTTTACATCATCAAAACAAGGGTGATGGGAATTGTATAGGGACTACAACCAAGATGAAAATGCATACATTGTGCAAAAATGAAAAATGGCCATCTTAATTAGGGCTACTTCCTACCCTTAATTGCTTTGAGTCACTCTGCTCCAATGCAACCTCCACTGGAGCAGGGATCTCTGTCCCCAGGATATTTCAAGTACTAAGAATATTGGCAACTACATAGGAACTGTTTGCTGAATATATGCTGCAATAATGAATGTTAAACTTTGATTAATCTTAGTCATTTCTGCTATCTTTCTTTTTTTTAAGTATTTATTTATTTGTGCATACAAGAATAGGCATATAGGCCAGAGGTGTGGGGTTGGGGGCGGTGAGAGTATTCCTGCTATCTTTCATCATTTCATTTAAATGTAATTCATTCAAAATTTCCCTCCTCTATTTTCTCTTCAACCTGGTACCTAACATTCATGAGTCTCTATCAAGAGGGTGGTCAGGAGGGAATGTCTGCTCTGTGACATTTCTCCATACAAGGTTGTCATCTCTTAGATGGCTTGTTCCTATATTACTCCCACTGCCATTCCTTAAGAATCAGTCATCATTCTTGGTCTACAGTAGCAACAACCTAAAATGAGTAATCACTTTAGACCACGAGTCCCTTCTTTCAATCAATCCTGTACCTTTATTATTTAAAGAGTAGAAAAATTTAGCTATTTCCCAAGGCTTTCTGGAGTTACAAAAACCTTAAATATTTATCCATACAAAGCCCTAAGGACTTATATCTTTGTCAATATGGGAAATATCTCTAGAAGGAGAGATAGCTGATATCCCAGAACTAGACCCTTCTACTTTTGGATATGCAAACTATCTCATGGATTGTTACCAATATCTCCCCCTCCCCATCCATGTTGCAATAACTCTGGATAGAAGAGTCAAGCAGAACATAGGTCCCAATCTAAGCAAGTTTAATTATCTTGCTTCCTGCCCTCTTCTACTGCCCTCTTCAGTTCAAAAGAACTCTTGGCAGGATTAGTGAGAAGTCAGAACTAGATAACAAGTATTCTCCTTAAATACTTCCTTCTTGCACAGGAAGGAAAGCCTTTGAGTTTTAAACCAAGGATTTACTGCCCCCCCCTTTTTTTTTCTTATTTCTCCAATGATAACATCCAATGACTAATTTCTGGAGAGAAAGATCTCAAAGCCCAAGAAAAGAAAATGAAAGAAGTTTAAATGTGGGGGAATGAGGTCAGGCAGAGAAGGAAGGAAGTGATGTTTGGGGGGATATTTCAGTCAACACTTCAGAATATTCACAAATATTAGCTCTAATCTTTATCACTCGAGAAACTTATTATACCTGACTTAACCTTTTGTTAAAAAACAATCATGCAGCAAATAGAGTAAAAGATGAGAAAATACAATTAATCTTTTCTCACAAGGTAGATTTCCACAGTAATGTTAAACTTATTCACGAAACTAAAATAACAAGTTATATATTAGCTCCGAAGTTCCAAGGAATGAAGAAAAAGTAATAAGATGAGAATATGAATTCCTCCCTATCTAATCCTAAGTATGTTTTAGAGATTTAGGAACACATAGGTGAAGAAAGAAAATGAATTATCATCCTTTCATGTAAAGTATTGTGAAACAAGCTAACGTAACCTATTAGCGTCAATGCCAAAACCTAAATGAAGAAATTCTTAACTTTAATGAAGGTCGAATGTAAACACATAGAGAATTCCA